TTGTATTTTGGTCTGTGACGCAGGCTCATTAAAATTGTACCTCTAATCTTGGTAAGAAATGGCCCATGATAAAAGGGACTCGCAGTTTCAGAGACACTATGACCTATAGCTGAAGAGATACAGCAGAGTAAAATCTACTGTAGAGATTTTAAGCATTTCCTCTTACTCGCTTAAAATAGAAATAGAAATCAAATCATCTGTGTTAACAAGCTCATCCTACCTCACCCCTTAACTTAAACTCAGCCCCAGCGTGTGGCTAAAAATAATTATCACTTCATTTTGGACATAAAAATAATGCTGTTTATCCTCTTAGCAGTGTGGCTCTTAAAGCTCTTGCAGCTTAAAGAGACAACAAAGAATCCTGGAGTGAGCACAGGTCTGAAATGGCATTTATTTCTCACATACTCTTATCATCATATATTGCCAATGGTATGATGCATATATGCATATAATCCATGTTTAATAAGCACAGCCTGGGCACAGCTCATTTGGCACAAGCATATGATATCTATATGTCATTGCCTGCGAGCAAGAAAAACATATTCCATATCTTGCTGCCTCTGAGGCGGCTGAGATCATTTATTTATTCATAGAACTGAATCCGAAGCGTGATTCATCGTGGCAGTCTTTTTTCCCTGCCAGAAGATTAGGAGGGACAATCTGGCCACTGTGACGGCGCATTCTTCCAGACAGTGAAATACTAGGGACAGCTGTGTCACTCCACTGTGGAGGAAACACAAAGGCCGTGCCTTGGGGCAGTACAGGCTGAGTATGGTTATTACTGTCACACAGCCTCTCAGTCCTGCGGGGCAACACAGGTGGCCACGTGTGTGAGATGAAAAAAGACATGAGAAACAAACTAATATACACATATACAATGTATACACTCAGGTAGGGCATGTGACATACTGCTGTTGTCATTAACATTACTCATGGGGACAAATGGTTTTGCTCTGTTTGAAAGGGCTTCAGGGGAAGAAACTATCCAACTTCGGGACATGCAGCAAAAGGTGTACTTGTTCTACAAAGACAAATGCAATCTATTTCTTTGTTGATGCAGCATTTGCTCGTTTCAGGGTTGAATGAGTGACTCTGCTCAGTACTCTTGTGTTTGTGCTGCTAATGTTTTTTACATGCCTGTTGCACTACTGCTGCTCCACACTTCAGAGAAAGTGGCACTGTTTACTGATGTCGAGTGGATGCAGCATAGGACATCTCCTATCTATTATGGCAGTGAAGCCGCCAGACTTGAAGTTCAAGTCAAGTCTTCAAGGTGAAATGCAAGGCCAGGTCACTGAGGTGAAGTCTGAGTCTAGTCTAAACAAACTGAGATGTGGGGGAGAGGCTGTGGCTCAGGAGGTATAGCGGGTCGCCAGATAATCTCAAGGTTGGCGGGTCGATCCCCACCTCCTGTCCACATGTTGAGGTGTCCTTGGGCATGACACTGAACCCCAAATTGCTCCCGATGGTTGGTCAGCACCCTCCTCGGTAGCTTGCTGCCATGAGTTTGTGAGTTCATGCGTGAATGGGAACGTGAATGTGGAGCAAACACCTTGTGAATCGCTGCATTAATGTTGCCATTTACTCAGCTCCGTGCTTGAGTAACCAAGTTGAGTTTGAAGCTGCACTTATCACATGGGCGACTGCGGCTCAGGATGTAGAGCAGGTTGCCTGTTAACTGCCCCTGGTTGTTCTTCCAGTGTATGAACGTTAGTTTCTGTTTGAGCACTTATTGAATGAATGTGTGTGAATTGTGAATGCAGATGTAGTGTAAAAGCGCTCTGAGTGGTCGAAAAGACTAGAAAGGTGCTATACATTTACATCTTTGTATTAGCAATGGATCAAATTACTTTGTGATGTGAAAGGGGTTCCTCATAAACACACAGATTACTATCACCAGACTGTGCAGTTCCCTCAGCTCTGTGGAGGGTTTTAGCATCTTTCAGCTCAGTATTTAGGTTTGCAACTTCACTGTTTTTACTGAGTCTCCTCGCACTCATAAACCTTGATTCGCAAAAGGCAGTCTCTCGCTGTACGCTACCTGTCCAGCACCAAACAGACAGAGGTAGTGTCTACCTGGTAAACATAGTGGAGCATTTTGCAGCTATAGAACCAGATTTTAACCTCAGGAGTTGGTAGAGAACGAAACATAATGGACTTACAGAAAGAACATTCATCAGGTGGCCAGAAACACATCTGCCAATGAACGCTAATGTTGCTCCATGTCTGCTGGATGTAGTAACAACTTTATAAGGCGATAATATGTCAATGCTGTCAGCAGAAATCAATTATTGCTGCTTTTAAGCGAGGTTTTGTAATTTTTGAAATAAGAAATAAAACAAACGAAAAGTTTAATTCACACACTACTATAAAACGCAACCTTGGTTAATTTTATACACTCAGGGGTTTTGCTGCTACAGCTCTACTTCATCTTTGTCGTATGTTCAGGATTTTATGGAGGCTTCTGTTAGAGAACTTTAAACAGATATTCCTGTGTAACTACATTGCTTATTCTGTTTGCTGTCTTTATGACTCTTCCCTACTTGTGCTACTGTTACACTGTGTTTTAACCTGTCACAAATAAACTTGTGAAAATGTCTTGGGAAATGAAGAGAATTCAGTGTGCTATTATAAAAGTTACATAGTCTAGCTAGAAGTGATTCCTATTATAAAAAAATACATCTGTTGCATTGAAAACTAATAAATTCAAGAGCAAGCCACCAGAATTCGCATCTAAGTTGATTCTTCGGTTTGATTCTGGTATGAAAACCCTGAACACCTTACCAGTCAGACTTCACCCAATGTTTTGAGGCCCCAGAGACGTTCCATCATCAATTCAGAGCACATCAACACATCATCTCCCCGCCCCCCCTCGATCTTTAATCTCTCCCAGTCTCCTCCTGCACTGTCACCCAGGTGTAGCCAAGCCATCAGTCAACTACTCAAATCACTGCCTCTGTCAGTTAACAAGTTCTGGAAGGAGCCTTCCATGAGCAGACAAATGTTGGGCCATCAGCACTGCCCAGATGCGAATTGTTTTTATCAACCGTCAGAATGTCAGCGCTTAGTTGTCGCTACAGGATCCCTGCAGCATGCCTGCTTGCCTGCCGGGCTGATATTTTAAATCCTGATCCAATCTGACGGCCGCAGCATGTCAACTCTCAGGAGACTCTTCTTGTTTCTTCTTTTTTTTTTTTTTTTTTCACTTCCTCTGAAAGTATTCCAGAAAGAGAAACGCTACAGAAGGAAGATACACACTCTGAATACATTTCTATGCCTAAAACTCCTTCCCATCCTACACAACTCCAAAGTAATTACATTCAAAAAGATGAAAACTGTGTGCATACTTTTGTGATTACAGTCATCTGAACAGAAGGAAAGTGAGGCACGGTTAGTACAGGAAATGAGTAGAAATAAAGGTAGGGAACTGCATGCTTCTGTTTCCAGACTTCATCAGATTTGAAACCTCCTGGGGCCATACAGTGTGTTGGTATGGGAACAACAGCAGTAAAGTGTGTATGTTTTCTTTTCATAGTGACATAGCACAGTTCCCTTAAGTGGGTAATTTGATTTCACTTCATTTCTGCACACACTGTTTCCAACTGTCATCATCTGTAGACTAATATGAAGTATGCATTGCCGCTGTCTAACACAAAACTGCCTGAATGGAACACAAGCACAGACATGATTTAAGACGGTGATTCAAGATACAACCTCATAATCTACAAGAATGAACATCTGAATGAATTTTTCATTTCTTTGCCGCCTTCAGAAAACACCCATTGAACACTTAAATACAGTTACCAAGATCGACGCAGGAATGAACTATTTCAATCTGTTGTAATGCCGATGTGCTATTCCCAAATAGCATCAGAATAATGTGATAATGAGCATTCAGTCTACTTGTGGAAGACATCCTGCTGCTACCACCAGGATATACAAGACGTCAGCCCTACAGCCAAATGGGTGTGGATCTCCCTCTCTCTCTCTCTCTCTCTCTCTCTCTCTCTCTCTCTCTCTCTCTGTATTCTGGTGGAGAGCAAGAGCTGTGTTATGGGTGTGAAATGCATATAGTATATGTGCGGATTTCAGCGCTTACATTCATGTTCATTTCTGTGTGCTTGTGTTATATGTGTATGTATGTATGTGCGTGTATGTGTGTGAGCTTTGGCCCAGATGTGCTTTACATCTAAACAACGAGAGCATTTCCATTCAGAGCAATTTAATCTTCAAATGTTGACCTCCGCCCTAGACATGCATCCATGTGCTTGATAAAGATTTTATAGCTTGGCTCATTTTCCTTGCTGTTCCAAAGCAGTGACAGTAATCATCAGCTGCTATTCAGTTTGCCCTGAGACACAGACAAAATCTCACTGGACAGAAACAACCCACAGAGCATCATTATGACTCTTCAGTAGATTTGCAGCACCTGATAAATCAACGGTGCATTAAAGGCTGACTGCAAGATACATCACCAACAATCAATCAATCCTGCATAATTTTCTGAGACACACCGAAATGCCAAAATCCAGCAAATCAATACTACAGAAGAAGAAAAGAATGAGGCACAGTGTGGCATCACAAAGGTGGGGTCCAAGTTTTTTAATCACAAGCAGATTGTAGAGTTTACTGCGCTTGGGCTGAATTTCCAAAAGAAAGGGATCATTGTGGCAAATCATCTAAAAACATGACATGAGTGGCAATTCATCAAATTGATAGCCTTTTTTCTGCAAGGCTCAGCCTGAATGACTTGCCTTAAATACCTTGTTGCTTTATAATAGCAGCAAGGCACACCTAAATGACCCAAATGATGCAACATGCTGATCAGAACAGTGTTTGGAGCCATACATAGTTTGATCCATGCCAGAAGCGATTCAGCCTCCAGTCTTGTCTGGTCAGTATTTGATGTGTGTGCGAGATGAAAAGTGTCACCCCTAGCGTTCATCGACTGCAAGGAAAGGTGAATAAAAAAAAGGAAGGGATCGTTAGAAATAACTTACCCCGAGGATGACAGTGTCTTCTCTTTGAAATATTGGGATGAACTTATCTCCGCGGATAATTTCGGACTTGTTCAGTGGACGAAATCGACACAACACCTTGATATTGCATTCCGCGTTAGCATCAGCCATTGTGTGTGTGTGTGTGTGTGTGTGTGTGTGTGTGTGGGGAGGGGAAATAGTGGACGCGCTTCCAAAAGATAAAGAGGATTTTCTTTATCTAAATTTAAAAAACGAAATATTCCCTGTGCAACCCTTTCAAGAAAACCACCTGGACGCAGGCTGAAACCACCGTTTATACCCACATGCAGAGCGATACTGGCAGGCGAAGCATTTGGAGTAACGGAAAACTACGAGTTTTGGGAGAGACAACAGCCAAATTCATTAAATACATGTAAAACAAAAAACAAAAAAAGAAGAAGAAAAAAAGAACCAGTTTGCAAATGGTTCCGGTTTCAAATGCCCTCAAAGCAAACTCAGGTGCATCTGAGCGTTGGTGCACAAATGGAGAGTTGTAAATGGGGAGTATATTCCAAACTAGTCCGGTCGGCAGTGTCTGGATAGGCTGCAGGATCCTCTGAGGCATGCCTTGCATCACTGTCATCCCTGCTCTCTCACTAGGGGCGGGGCGTGGAAAAGTAGCGACTCAAATCCTCTCATCAGCACCGCTGAGCACAGGGACCGAGGGGCAGAGAGGGGAGGCCAACTCCGCTTCTTATTCCCGCACTACAACTATGCTGGCCTCGACAAAAAAAGTTATTGTCGTTCACTTGTAACTTGCACACAAAGCTGAAGGTGTTGCTTGCACCAGGTGAGACCATTTCTGTGGCCAGTAGTTTTTGAGGAGTGCATCACTTTTTTTTGTTTCCAGCCCTGCACCATGATGGTTGTCATGGCAATGCTGTTTTGCATGACAAGCTGGGAAGTCATGTGGGAACAAAAGCCTCCATCATTTTTACCCAGAGATTTAAAGGAGTCGCCTTCTCCGGAATGGTTGAAGCTGCAAAAATATTCTGGCTTTTAGTCTACTTAAAATACTGGGCTACACAACCCCAGTTTATAACACAATCTTTCTGTTTTAAATTTAAAGTTCAAATTGAGATATTTTTTCTGATTTTAGAAAGCTCCTCATAGATGACAGTACTGTTATCACTGGCAAGCTACACCTCATGATGAGTAAACAGACCTTCATGTGTAAAATTGGTGGCGTGCCCTCTTAAAAAAGTATGTCAGTTCCTCTTGAAAGTGGGCCTACAAGGCGAGAAATGCAGGAAGCATTTATAAAACGATACTACTTGCAATAGGCTTACATTTAAAATGAATGAAAAGCAATGGAAGCTATGCATGTAACAGGCTGTAACCAAAGAAATAGACCACATTGTTCCCATGTAAGCTATAGTGCAGTAGTGTGTCTTGGTGAAACTTATTGGGCATATAATGCCTCTGCTCTTTACTGACGTGTAATACATACTTACTCCAAAGGCCTATGTTTTCATGGCATGTAACAAATGTGACATTGGGAACAAAATACTATACTATACTAAAATACTATTAAGTTAATGAGCTTTTTAATTTTTTTTTAGTCTTTATATACAGCCTACGTAGGCCTATATACAGCATTGCCTTCTCGCTATTTCTGCATTTACTGGAATACTTTATATCAGTGGTTCTCAAACTTTTTCACATAAAGGACCCCTAAACTGAAACAAATTAGACCACAGACCCCCATCTTATAAGATTTTGTCCCAAGGTCCCTAATCAGATGGGGTTTTTGCTTTTATGTTTTATTACAGAAACTTTATGAAACCAATGACCAAAACTCATCACATTGTGTTAGTTATGGATGGAATGATATTGAAAATAAATTATTCCTCTTTTTTCTAGGGACCCCACTTTAGGAACCAGATTTAGCTAAGGTGCATAATGTTTTCCAACAGAGTGAATCATCCTTTCCATTGAGCATCTTTGGTTCATTGATTGAGTCGTTTGCTCGTAGCTTCAGCGCCACCGTGTGACGACTCTGCTACAATTCAACCATATAGCCTACCATTTAAAAAAAAATACATAATCATTTTGTTTTTTAAGCTAATTATTTGTTAAATACATTCTGAGCGCAGTAGCAAATACCGTGTTTGATGAAAAGACCAAACAAAATGACGCTAAACAACAAAGGGGACCATTCTGTCATCGCATTGGTCTAACGGTACGCATGCGTAACGACGCAGGTCTTTGTAGGGGATGCTCGTTTCGTTGGTTTGAGTTGGCCGTTTAACTCTTTCCTATTGAAGTAAGTCAGCGAACACAACACCGCCCATTCGCCTGCTCTTGCAGGAAATCCAACGCACACGCTGTCAAGCTAGTAACCACATCAGCCTGGAAGCGTCCGGCGGCAGAGAGACTGCTGGCTCATCGATCGTTAGCTTTTGTTCTTTTTGGTTAATCGATAATATTCACGTTTGAAGAACTGTTATATTATATAGTGATTTGTTGGTCTGGTCTTTGCATCGCGCAGACAATGGCTGATCCAAAATACGCAAACTTGCCAGGAATTGTAAGTGGCTACCACTAGCAGACATATTAGCAACATTGCTACTTGGCAGTGCTAGCTCCGAGCTGTGACAGCTAAGTTAGCTAACATCCCGCCTGCTTACTCTGTTGTCTGCTTATTGTTACACAGCGAGAATTATTCATTGTAGATTCTTAGTCGCTAAGTTTTCAGCTAATGACGTGTCTTGTTATACAAGGCATCAAAAGAGCAAGGGCTAGCAAATACGTGATTTTGATTGGGCCGGGGCGTTGGCCAGGCTAACCACAATAAACGGGATATCTGATCGTATGTTTAACGTCATCTAACTGTTTTAATAGGCCTTTAACGAGCCGGACGTGTACGAGACAGGTGACCTTCCAGAAGATGATCAGGCTCAGTTTGAGTCGGTAAGTGGACGTTTTTTATTCACTGGATTTGTCAGTATGCAGACTGGTGGCTAATTCGCTGCATATTCATTGAACTAGCTAACAAGTGTTTACACTTTATAACTTAAAGATGTATCATATAATCAGTGTGCATTGTCCCTGCTACGATTATACACTTACCCACGCAATTTTTTGGCTTAGTATTACTACTGACTGATGGCACTGATTGAAGTTCAGCACTACTGTATTAATGCACGCATGTACTGTGATGTCACTTAATATTATTAATTCATTACTGAGCTATTATTTATGAAATCTAAACTGTCACTGCATATGTACTTTCTTTACTAATTCTGTAGAGCAAATGAAAAATGTGTGTTCTTCTTTTATCTACCAAATTTCAATATAATTCTTCTTGACTTGATTTTATTGATGCTTAATATATAATTTCTCATTTATTTGAAAAGCTTATATTTCAAAAAAAGATGTATTTAAATTTTGTTCATGTTTCAAAAAGCCAACATACCCTTTCAGGTTACTGTTTAACTCCACTTCCATATATTATGCACATTAGTATATCTGCTTATTTATACACAGAGAGAAATAAGAAGTATAAAACAGGTGAAAAATCTTTCTCTCAAAGTCTCAACCAACCAACCATCATCTATTAAAATGTCAAGGAACAACATCTACTGTGGCTGTTTGTGATGATGATGGTGTTGTGACAAATATCTATTCTAACAGCAATCTTGGTAAGCACTTTGTGAACAGTTGAGGGATGCTGGTCTGACATTGCTTTTAAACATGTCTGAGCTGTTGACTGACCAGCTGAGTAAATCCTAATTGGCATTTTCCCTTCCATGTTTCGACCCCTCCTGGGACCCTAGTTTGTACAAGTAAGACTGGCTCCATTTTGCCCTCAGTGAGCTTAATGCCATGCTTTTTATGCATGTTTTTAAATCTCATATACACTTTTCCTACCTTTAATTGATTGGGATGAAATGAGAAATAGATTGATGGAGTGTCCCTTTTTGTGCTTTGTAATTCATCAATTTTTGATTGTTTTGAAGTGCAATGAATTGATTCTTTTCCTTCTGTTTGTGTTGCTCATTTAAACTATTTTAAGGCAATAGTCATGTTCAGCAGCACTTTAATTTCGCTCTTTTACTGGGTCATGCTTTCAAAGCAGTGAAAGCTCGAGTATGTGTCTGTGTGAGTGACTGGAGAAAGAAAAGCGTTTGTCTATTTGTTTTAGATATTTCCCTTTTTAACCTGCCATCTTGTTGTAACAGTTGCTTTTTGGCTAACCACATAATTCTGACTAACTGGAAACTTTAAAGGCCCCTATACACTATGTGATAATGTCTTGCAGGTTCATTGCAAGTTGCACTTTGTGAGATGGATATAATATCATAAAATCTTCGATTTTGAGACACAACCCTGGTGAATCATAGCATCAATGATGTTAAAAAAAAAAAAAAAAAGCAAACAGACACTGCATTGACTTGAGCGATCCATATGCACTTATCTTGTGTTTTTAAAAATGCAGCCAAACCAAGCTTTGGCCATGGTGCTGGGGCTTCTATGAATTTTGCTTCTATGAGTTTAAATTGCACTTGGCAGGTATCCCTGGCCTTGTGTTGCTTTACAAAAAAAGTTATGCAGGGACGTAGTATATTTTAGTTTTGTGTTATATTGGTTGGTTTATAGTAGAGCTGAATGGAAAAAGTCAAATTGTGATTATTTTGATATTGTGTTTGCAATGTGAGTCACATGTTTAGTGGGAATGGTAATTTTTGCATTTTAGTGTTACTGAAAAAAAATTAAAAATGATGATTATGTGATTTGTCGTCTGCGGCACTGCTCCATTGAATATCGTTTATTTCCGTTTACCATATTTATAATTGCTTTTAGATTAATGTATATTGTAGCATTCTACAACTTGTTGTAATGTGTCAAATAAAGGACAGACTTAACGACTTTCAGCGTCGGCCAATGGCCGTGCTGTTCACACTACACAACTTGCCGCCTTGTAACCGGATCTTGAAGTCGTTGTGCTGTTCACACTACGTGACTGATTGGTGACAGGGGGTCACAGACTACACGAGCTGACAGCGCCTGTGTGTCACCCGACGCTGGTCTCCAAACCACGTTTTTTCATGAAAACACATGTGAAATGTGAAACAGGAATTGACACAAAACAGCTGTTGTTTATTATAAAGATTGCAATTATAAAGACAAAGAATATGGATGAAATAATCGTTTAGCACACACAGGTAGCAGTGATTGTCTGTGCTACAGAGAGAGCTGGAGGTGAGTAAAAAGTGTTTTGTAGTGAAAAAGTAGCTGCCTGCTCTCATTGACTGGATGTGGATGTCGAGTTGGCCGACTCTTATAGATATTTGGTATGCTAGATACCTGACTGCCGTCTGCAATGTGTCAATGATGCGTCAGGGAGCCATTTTCATGCGTTGTTGAGTTCACACGCAACGAATGGCTTAAATCAACCTTGTACATTGACGCTAACTTTCTTTGGTTACCAGTGCTTTAATTTGGCAATAGGTAGACATCATCTTGGAGTGATTACCAAAGATATCATCTTTACGTTTGTCTGAGACAGCCAAACAAATCACACAGTGTATATGGGCTT